ATGGGATCCGAACCCGTGGCCCTGGTGCTATCAGCACCGCACTCTCCCGAGTGAGCCACATGCTGGCCCCATAAAGTCTTTTTCAAAAATTATATAGTTTAATGGCTTTGCCATTCCCCACGTATCTCATCCAGAAACAAAATTTATATTTATCCAAGTAGAGAGCCTATAAATGTATATGGGTATTGGAAGAATCTGATGAGTATTTTACTTCACTGATATGACAATAGATATGACAACTTTTTATCAGTTGATCTTGGTGTAAAGTTACTATGAATAGACAAAAAAAGTTGATAAAAAGTTCTTCTGTGTAATAGTACTCCATTAACAAATTTAAACATTCAGTTAACAATTAAAAAACAAACACTATTGGGCATTGTTACTATATCCTGATAAATAATGATATCTAGATAGTTTTGTATTATGAAACTATCCATAATGACATCTTGAATTTTTATAGCAAATGCAAAGACCTTTAAAGGAATCCAAATTCTTTTCTATCCTTCACATCATATTCTTATGACACCTGAGGTGACAGGGGAAAAAAGATATCATCTTTACCATCTTTCAGAAGGAAAAACTGAGGTCACAGAAGTTAGGTGTCTTGCCTAACATCATACTACAAATTGGCATGGACTCAATAATATACAAGTCTCCAACTATTAGGTTATTGCTCCACCCTCTGGATCCTACTTCTTTGATTTTTACTAGTGTGCACACTTTTATGATCCTTTAATACCCCACCCTCCCGTGTCCATTCCCCACTACACTATGGGCTCCTTGATGGCAGGGCAACCCTCTTCTTCAACAGCATATCCACAGAGCTATGCACAGTGCCTGATACATAGTGGGCCCTCAATATATGTTTAGATGAGAACCCCTTGCCTTGTATTATGTCAGTGTATATCCCTAGAGATTGTCCCCAAAGCCCACAATGACTCAGCAAAGGTGCTGATTCAGCAGAGTTCCTTCAGCAGAGGGCTCCTAATGTCCTGCAAGAAGTGGATCATCATATCACACAGGCGCTAACTTTGCAAAGGAATTAAAGAGCAGTTCTCATGATCACCAACCCCTAACCTACCCAAACCCCTTATTTTGGTCCCACCCAGTATTCTTAATTGGTCCCATAAGCTTCCCTGAAATAAAATTTTACCTATTGAGAACACTCAAAGTAAAAGGCTAATCTTATAATGTTTTAATGTCATTCATCCTAAGTAAAATTTAAAAAGGACTTTCTAGAAAAACACTGTACATGCACACACATACAATATTCTAAAAGTGAATTTTAGGATCAATGACAGGTATTTTGGGGTAGACTGGATTTTTGCTGCTTCTCTATAAATAGCAGTCAGCTATTCCAATTACAACAAAAATCACTGACAAGACCATACTTGAGTACTTTAACTTTTGAACTGAAAATATAAATTGCCACTGGTAATTTTAGGAAGGTGTAATACCTCAAGGTGAAAGAGGTACATATACCTCTGGTACATATACACTAACAACAGCATCTGGCTATAGTTCTTTGAGAAAGATGCCAGACTGTTCCTGGGGGATGGGTTATAAAATTCCCTTCTCCTGTTCAGCTATGGATGGTCGTCCTTCCTTAGTCCTAATACACCATATCGTGCCTGTTAGAAGACAGTAGTACTTCTAAAACAGTGGTTTCCAAACTTTTGGATTTCAAGGATCAATACAATTAAAAAAAAATTCTTGACCAACCTGAGGTTGTCATTTTTTTTTATGATTTCCAAATAAAGCTTGATATATTTTTTCTCTTTTTTATTGTTTTTATTTATTTTTCACAACACTCTTTTAATATTAAGGTATAAATTACATGCAATAAAGCACACAAATTTTAAGTGTGAAGTTGGGTTACTTTTTACATATAATAAGTATAATATGTATACTTATTATACCGCTGTATAATAATTCTTGTAATATAATAATAATTTTTATTAAAATATAGAATATTCTAGCACCATAGAATACTACCTGTGCCCTCTTCCCAAGTTTACTCCCCCCAAAGGTAACCACTATTCTGACCTCTATCATAGATTATTAGTTTTTTTTTTTTTTTTTTTTGGTTTTTTTCGTGACCGGTAAGGGAATCGCAACCCTTGGCTTGGTGTCTCCCACACCGCGCTCAGCCAGTGAGCGCACCGGCCATTCCTATATAGGATCCAAACCCGCAGCGGGAGCGTTGCTGCGCTCCTAGCGCCGCACTCTCCCAAGTGCGCCACGGGGCCGGCCCATAGATTATTAGTTTTGTCTTATTTCAAACTTTCTATAAATGGACTAATATACATGATAGAGTGTGAATTCATTTACTCAACAATATAACAGTTATCTGTGTTACTTTGTGTAGCAGTAATTCACTCTTTTCCATTGTCATGAGTATTTCGTTGTATGAATATACCATAATTTATCTACTCTACTATTGACAGATATTTGGGTTGTTACCTTTTTTTTTTTTGCATTTTAAATTTTATTTTTTATTAATAATATATTTTTTACATTCTATGATGTTGCAGAGCAGTTGGGAGGGAGGGGGAGAGGGGAAAGGGGAAGGGAACAGGATGGAAGGAGGAGGGGCGGGATTATTTTATGATCATAATCCTTTTGTGAAAGAAATGGTATTTTAACACCAAAGAATTAGGAAGGTCATAATTTAAGAATAAGAAATAGTCCTTTAAATCAAATCTATTTAACTTTAATAAAAACTCTGTGAACTGTCCTATTTTTCTTCTTCTGCTGATGACTAGTCACAGACTGATATTGATTCCTCAGTCACAAGGTCTATAGCTCTGGCCTGTTTACCTTAGGCCAAGAGTGGCCTCTGCAGTTTAGCTCAGGGTATCATACACATATTATCATTTTACACGTTACCTTAACCTGAAAAACGTGGAGTACCACTGGTCTGGAGCAGTGGCTCTCAGTGTGTGGTCCTGGGACTAGTATCAGCACCATGTGGGAACCCATTAGAAATGCAAATTCTCAGGCCTGCTCCCAGACTTACTGAAATCAGAAACTCTAAGGGCAGGGCTCAGCAATTTGTGTTTTAATAAGCCTTCTAGGTGATCCTGAAGAGAACACCATTCTAGACCACAGTTTGAGAATACCAGTGTAAAGAACAGAGGTCTGGGGTTGGCTGGTTAGCTCAGTTGGTTAGAGCGTGGTGCTGATAACACCAAGGTCCAGGGTTCCATCCCTGTACCGGCCAGCTGTCAAAACCAAAACCAAACAAACAAAAAGGGAACACAGGTCCAGACCTGAGAGTGGAAAAGCCAATGTTCAGTTTCTATCTCTCACTAACTACAAGCTCGAATGAGTCACATCTTCATATTCTAATTTCCCTATCTATATAACAGATAAAATCAGTTTCCTAAGGTACAAGGTGGTTTTGAAAATAAGTATGTGAAAGCTTTTGAATTCCTCAGAGATAAGTCAACATGACACTATCCATCCAAGGTGGTGATGGTAATAATCTTCACCCTGTTTTTATCAAGCTACTCCAACCTGTCATACTCACAATATATTCTAAGCCTGTTTTTCAAGGTTCTAGTCACTCCACCCAACTTGGTGATATTAGCTATTTAATGAGCGTACATTTTATTCATCCATTTAATCATTGCTATTTAATGAGCGTACATTTTATTCATCCATTTAATCATTAATAAGAACTTTAGGCATTACTAAGACTAGTATCATTTTTCCTGAAAAACTACGTTTTCATTAGCTCCGAAGCACTCATTAGCCTTTCCTCCTCCCTTTCCTTTCTTGAAAATTTCTCTAAGGAGGTATTCATTTATATAAAGAAAATAGGCCTAAATAGGACTTCAGGTAAATGCAAAAAGTTTAATAAACCCATAAAAATTTACTGATTGCCTTCCATGGTCTCTCTACCACCACTTATTTCAATATAAGAGTACCATTCTTAACTCTCCCAAGTAAAACATGATTATTATTATTATTATTTTTTTTTTAAAGATGACCGGTAAGGGGATCTCAACCCTTGGCTTGGTGTTGTCAGCACCACGCTCAGCCAGTGAGCAAACCGGCCATCCCTATATAGGATCTGAACCCGTGGCCTTGGTGTTATCAGCACTGCACTCTACCAAGTGAGCCACGGGCCGGCCCCGTAAAACATGATTTTACCAGAACAATTTCAATAATACCTTCTGCATTTCCCCATAAAGGTATTATGCCAGACACTGAATCACAAGTTACACTGGCATCTATAAAATCATCTTTTTATCTACTAGACTTGCTTATGTGTAACAAAGCCATTGGTAGTTTAAAGTAGATTTTAAAAAATACTTTTCATTTGAAAAGTTTGCCTTGCCCCTTATAAGCTGTAGTATTATTCAAGTTTTTTTTTAGTTAAGTACCATGGATAACTCCATGGAGGTCAAACTTGGTATGGTCTTCACATATCTAGTCCCCCAACTATATATAGTGCTTTGGAAACACTGTTTTAGGAAAATAGATATTAATCTCGCCCAAATCTGAACCTAATTTTAGTGATGTTTCCATTCATGGACATCTGCCTCATTTTCAAGACTTTTCTCTATATTGAGGTCATTCAAAGGGACAAGATATGGAAAACTCTCCTGTAGTCCAAATCAATACTGTACCAGTTATCCAATAAAATAACCATCCAAAAACAAAACAAACAAAAAAACCCCAAATAAAAAAACCCCAACAACAACAACAACAAAAACAATGGAAGCCTAAAGACTTACTTACCAATGACAGGGTTGCTATTTCTCTGAGCTGGTTTAGGGGGAGGGATAGGGGGCTGCTTGGCAGGGACCATATGAGTGAGGCTTGGGGTAGCAGTAGTGTTAGTGCTGGCAGGAGCAGGAGGCAGAGTCCTGGGTGCTGGGGAAGGGGTGACAGAGGAATTAACAGTCTTTGCTAGGTTTGTGGCAGCAGTGGTGGCAGCAGGTGCTGTGGTGGTGGAGGAGGCAGAGGTGGAGGAGATGAACCTTGCCGTGCTGCCAGAAGTGGCATCCCTTGCTTGCCCTTCACTTGCTTCATGAGAAGAGGACAAGGGTCTTTTGGGGGGAAGTAAAGGTTGTTTGGGTACATTCTCAGGAACAGACCCTGCTTCAGAATTAGACTGGCTTCCGGTTGATCCTGTATAATAACAGATATGATTTAAAAGGAAAGAGAATAACAAGAAAGAATAAGCTAACACATCTATGGATTTATGGTCAACTTCATTAATTATTTAATTTATAGATTAGTTTACAGACTACAGTTTTCAATGTTTCCCAACCTCAACGTATTTTAGGAATGTCAGTAAAAGAGGCTCAGTAAGAGAGGCTCATTACGGTAGTGATTCTTCACACAAGAGCCAGGCTACTGGACGAGGTGCATCAAAATTCCATGGGTGGAGAAAGAGGAATGTGTAACTTGAAAAAGTTGCACAGTTATCTAATATTTGACATCCTTTTCCCTCCTTGAGAATCACAAATCTAGGTATTTTGTAAATGCAAGAATGAAAGGGGGGAAATTCCACTTGAAGTTGTAACTAGTTAAGGAATTCCTAAAGAAGAATGTTATTCCCTCTGGATTTTATTTCTCCCAGTTCTCTCGCAAACCCCCAAGGTAAATGAGAATGGTCTGTGACCCTTAAATTCAGAAATCCAGAGTTTCCTACCTAGTCGCTTCTTTGTGTCCTCTTCTGGAATAAGTTTCCTAAGACTTGTTCTTACTGGCTCTTCCTCTACTTGGATTGGACTAGAAGATCTGGCACTCCCTATTGGGGTGGTATGGCCATTCTTTAACATGGCATGACTTGACTTTCCTGGATCCTCACCATCTGCAAGGTGAAAGAGGAAAAGAGTGGAATGATGAAACTGGCATGGTCAGATAGGAAGAAGAGCTGGCTATTTCTAACCTCTCTTACTCCCTTGCCCCCTTCTTCCTGTTTTAGCTTATTATTTAGATCTAGATTATCTGAATCCTTATAGAAGTAATGAAGTAATTCCTTTTTCCAATACACATTTGATTTTGCCTATTAGGTGCCAAGTACCTTGGTACATGAATAAGACAGATAAATAAAACAGATTTATTATACATAAGCAATTATAATGCTAAATGTTAAGAGCTATAATGAGTGAAGTTCTGTGGTGGGAATGAAGAAGAAACCATTCTCCTGGGGGTGGAAATGGGGCTAGAAAAGCTTCACCAAAAGTGTTATCAGAACTGGGTCTTGAAGGAGGTGTACAAGCCTACCACACTGATGAAAGACAAGTCTTTCTAGGAAGAAGGAAGGAAAGCATGTATGAAGGCATGAAATTATGCAACATGTTTGAGGGACTGACAACTAGTTTGGTTTGGCAAGAGAATAGATGCACATAAGAAATGGTTGTTGGGCCGAGCCCGTGGCGCACTCGGGAGAGTGCGGTGCTGGGAGCACAGTAGCGCTCCCACTGCGGGTTCAGATCCTATATATAGGGATGACCAGTGCGCTCACAGCGGTCACTGGCTGAGCGCAGTGCGGCCGGTCTCAAAAAGGACAAAAAAAAAAAAAAAAAAAAAAAGAAATGGTTGTGAGTGGGACTGGAAAGGCAAGCAAGAGCCAGACTATAAAGGATACTAAAAACCATGTAAAGGAGCCTGGACTGAATCCTGTACAAATTAAGAAGCTAAAGAATTAGAAGTAGTAGAGAAACATGATCTGATCCATTTAGGAGCTATGAGGATGGATTATAGATGGGCAATAACTAAAACAGAAAAACCAATAATGAGCTACAGTTAGAATGTAGGTAAGAAATAGCAGATGGCAACTGAGGGCAATAGGAGTGAAGAGCAAGGGGTAGAACTGATGGATAGATCAGAGGTAAAAATGATACACATGATGATTTCGTATAGAATAAACTGCAGGGACGAACACCAGGCTTGAGACTTTGGGAGAATCTGCAGTGACCATCCATTGCTATGAAAATCATACGTGAGTTTCCTTCATGGAGCAATTAGACAAAACTTACCAGTTACTGTTGAGGTTTCCTAGATACTTTTGGAAGAGAGAACTAAAAACACTGATGTTAGAGACTAGAATCTATCTCACTTCCTAGTGTCATGGGGACTGGAACTAGCTGTTCTCTAGATGGTGTCCCTCTTTGCTTTCCATAGTGAAACACTTTGTGTAATATCATTTCAGTGTCTTTTGAGTTAGTCCATTGAGTTCTCACAGACCAGTTTCTCACCCCAACCCACAACCTCACCTTCTACTAGGAGATTAGACAGTGTCATTCTTCATGTATTCCCAATAAGAGGTGGAGTTTGGGCTAAAAGTAGTGAAGCGTCTAAGGCCAATAAGTAGTAAGTGAAAATGTACTCCTAAAGTTAAAGCAGGGCTAGCCAGTTAGCTCAGTTAGTTAGTGCATGGTCTTGTAATACCAAGGTCAAGGCTTCAGGATCCCCATATCAGCCAACTGCCAAAAAATAAAAAAAAAGCAATGGCCAAAATGTCACAATGGAGGCATTATAATTGTACTTAACCACCTAAATACCTACAAGATTTTGTGCCCTACTATAAAAAAGAGTCATGAAAAACAAAAGTTATACATACTCACAACTAGTCAATGTAGAAAATTCACAAATACAGTAAGGAAAAAAAAAAAAAAATCACCCATAATCACCCATAATCCCATCCCAACCTCCAGAGGTAACCAATGATAATAACATTTTCATATTGTCCCTTCAAACTTGTTTTCTCTAGTGTTTTTTTTTTTTTTTTTTTTTTTTTTTTTTTTTTTTTTTTT